GCTAAATTGTGTATGAATTGATGCCAAGCTCCTCACACTTATTAGCAAATTCTGGGAGGGTGACTTCTGCTATTGTCCCCATTTTGTTGTTGTTGTTAAGTGCCATCGAGTCGGTTCCGACCCAATGCGACCCTGTAGAGAGTTTCCGAGGAGTGACTGGTGAACCTGAACCACCAACCTTGCAGTTCCAATGACTTTGCAGTCTGGTATATTAACCCACAGTGCCACACCAGAACTCCATTGTGCCCATTTTACAGATGAGTAAGTTGAGGCTCAGAGAGGTGATGTGGCAGGTCGGAGATCCCAGAGTTGAGTAAGCAAAGAATGGGACTCCAAATACTAGTGCACCAGAGAGAGCCCATGGCTGTTACTCTTTACTGACATAAAGTAACAGCATTCAAAAAACAAAAACAATGCCAGTGACAGTAACAAAGTAACAACAGTAATGAGGATGCTATCCCCTTTGGTGGAACATTTACAATATGCCAGTCACCTCATTCTGGCTACATTGTTGCGCTTATTAGCACTTTTTCTTGAGGGAACAGCCTTCCAGCTCCTGCATCAGTGTCTTTACACTGGTTGTAGTTGTTGTTGTTGTTAGGTGCCATCGAGTCGGCACCAACTCATAGCGATCTTATGCACAGCAGAACGAAACACTTCCCGATCCTGGGCCAACCTCACTGTTGTTGTTAATTGTATCCACCTTGTAGGTGAGGAGAATGAGACATGGAAAGGGGAGAGGTGCCATGTTGGACTCTACATAGTCTGTGCTTAGAACCACTGGTAGCCCAAAGCTTGACAGTTTGAACCCATCATTGGGGACCTGGCACATAGTAGGTGCTCAAGAACAACTCACTTTCCCATCCTTCTGCCGCAAGGAAGTGCCCAAGTGTCTACTAGATACCACTCACTGTCTTTTGCAACTGTGTGTGGGCTCTGGTTCCGGAAGAGGGTCCTGTGCCCGCGGCCTGCAGCCCGGACGGCTGGCTGCCCGGGCTGGGTCCTTCCCAATGGAGTGGCCACCATGCCCAGCCGAGAGGCTGTCCAAGCAGGACTGGCCGACTCTGAGGGCCACTGACTGTCCAGCCCGGGAGTGCCCACAGGGCGTGGGGCCGAGATGGGCAAGCTCCCCTCAGCCACTGCCCAGCCCTGCCCAGCTCAGCTAGTCCCACTGGGCTGCAGGGCAGGGTCAAGGAAAGGCCACCCCACCAACCTGTCATGGGCTGGGAAACTGAGGCATGGGGCTTTGCATAGCACTGTTTTTGGCATCCTCAGAGAGATAGGCAGTGGGACCTCGGCACATGGTGTGTGAAGTCAGCATGATGCCAAGCAAGCACTAACGTTTCAAGGACTGTCTGTTATTCCCATTATAGCCGTACAAGGTAATAGCAGCAGGGTATTGTACAGATGAGAAAACTAAGGTCCCTGCCCAGGGCCACACAGCCTGGGAGCCACAGAGCTGGGATCTGATCCCAGAAGTCAAATGGCTCGGGTATTGTGTGTTAGATGCTGGACCCACAAACACATGATTAGAATGATGAAGTAGATGGGGTGAACAATTTCCCTCGTTCTTACCTTTCATTGTCCTTGTCCATAAAATGGGAGCAGGGACATGGCAAAATCTGTAGGTTATTTTGTTTGCTGCCGTCGAGTTGTATAATGTGACAAAACCTTGCTTGATGATCCTGTGGCATTTTCATGATTGCTGGGCAGGTTATGGGAAGGATTTAAAAATATCAGTCCTAGCAATAATGCAATGGATACTGCTGTTAATCAAGCATGCAGTATGCCCCGAGCGTGTGTGCTTTCTTGCTTCACCCCAGCCCTGGCCCGTTTGGAAGAAGAGAAAACTGAACCTCTGAGCGGTTCATTCACTTGTCTGAAGCCACACAGTGATAATATTCGAGTTTGGGGGCCTTTGTCTTTTGATGACGGTTCCTGACACTTTAGTCCTGACCTGAGGGATGCACAGTGGTGTAGGGTGGAGAATAGCGGGGGTTCTGTTCAGTGGGCCAGCCCTGTGCGGAGGATGGGCACTGTAAAGAGGGCCGGCTTTGCTCGCTCCCCACCCATCCAGGCTGTTGGAGCCAATGCTGCTGAGCTCAGCGTCTGTCTGCTTCTCCCGAGACTGCCAAGGAGTCTGATTATTTTTAGATAAGATGGAGGGGCGGGTGCTGGTACAGAGGGAGCCCCCATACCAGGCAGACAGGGAGTTGTAACGACAGAGGGCTGCCCTTGAATGGACCCGCAAATGCTAACCCCAGACCACGGCCTGAGGGCTGTAGGGGCAGAGGCCAAGAGGAAGAACTCAGGGTACAAGAGCTCACCTGTCTGGCCCTCCATATTCTCATCTGTATAATGGGCATAATTACAGCTCTACTCTCAGAGGATGAAGGCACAATTGAAGGGGTCGTTGCATGTCAGGTTATCATTCCATTTCACAGATGGGCAAATCGGTGAAACTCAGAGAGGGGAAGTGACTCACCCACAGTCAGAATGTGCCGGAGCCGGGATTAGAACCCAGTCTGTTGGGCCTGTGAGTGTCCGTGTGTGGAAGGGTATGCTCACACATATGGGGCTCAAGCCCTGTCAGGACTGTGGCCATGTCCACGGCTACCAGCCCAGTGTAGGCCACCAGCATTGACCGCTCTCCACCGTGGGATATCACCCACTAACAGGGCACACCAGTTAAGTGTTTGACTGAAAGTTTGGCGATTTGAACTCTAGCAGTTCCACGGAAGAAAGACCTGGCAGTTGGCTCCTGTGAAAGTTGCTCCCTTGGGGTCGCTGTGAGTCAGTACCTGACAACAACATGTCACCAACTCCTCCTTCTCTTTCTAGATTCAGAGCAGAGCAGTAGCCCCCGCACAGGCTTGGGCTCTGACCAGGAGGACAGCAAGCCCATCACGCTGGGTGAGTGTGGGCAACATGGGAGGCAAGGGGGAGGGGCATGGCCCTGCTCCCCACTTTTCAGTCAGCAGACATGTATTGAGCACCACCTGTATGCCAGGTTCTGGTGGGAAACACCTTCATCCATTCCTCACCTGGAAAAATGGGCATTGCCATTGTTCACATTTTACAGATGAGGAAACTGAGGCTTAGAGAGGTTAAGGGACCTTCCCAGGGGAGTTGGGGTTTGAACACTGATCTCCCAGTGTGGGGGTCTCTCAACTGCTCCCCCCACAAGACCTCAGGGGATGTTGAAGGGAAAGACAAATTAGTTCAGGTAAATCAACTCCCTAGGGTTAGGGGTAGCAAGTGGAGGGGCTTTTCTGAAGAGCAGGTAGGCCCCCGCGGGTTCCGGGTGTGCTTACTGCTAAGATAAAACTTCCGCCTGGGCCAGCCCTATCATCCCCCGCTCCTGCCTCTGCCCATAGCCCTCCAGGGCTCCCACCTCTCTCTGGTAAAAGCCCAAGTGTTCTGCTCAACCCACAGGGTCATTCATGCACACGCCATCCCATCTCCTCCTTGCCCTCTCCTCTTCCTCTCTCCGCCTCACTCACTCTGTTCTGGCCACATGGGCCTCCTCGCTCACTGTTCCTTCAACTCACCAGTGCCCATCCCATCCTGCCTCAGGGCCTTTGCACAGCCTTTGCCCTCTGACTGGACACTCTCTCCCACATCCTTGCATGGCTGGCTCCCTCACCCTCAAGTCTTTGCTCCACTGTCACCTCTGCCAGGAAGCCCTCTGTGATGCCCAGGCCAGGTCCACCTCAGTATCATATACACCTTCCCCATTTAGTGTCCTCTCTTTCAGGAAGCCCTCTGTGATGCCTAGGCCAGGTCCACCTCACATAGCATCATATACACCTTCTCCTGTAATGTCCCCTCCTCCAGGAAGCCCTCTGTGATGCTTAGGCCAGGTCCACCTCATAGAGCATCATATACACCTCCCCCTGTAATGTCCCCTCCTCCAGGAAGACCTCTGTGATGCCTAGGCCAGGTCCACCTCACATAGTATCATATACACCTCCCCCCCCCCCAGTAATGTCCCCTCCTCCAGGAAGACCTCCTGACTGCATTCGCATAGTCAATCTCCATTTCTTCCCTGCCTTCCTCTCCTCTCTCCACTCTCACTCACTCTGCTTCAGCCACACAGGCCTCCTGGCTGTTCCTCTAACCTTCCAGGTTCAGTCCTGTCCTGGGACTTTTGAAGGAGCTGGTCCCATGCCTAGACAGCTCTCTCTAGATTTCCCCGGCTCTCAGTTCAAATGCCTCCTTTCCAAAGATGTCTTCCCTCAACCTGGGACTCAAGCAGCTCCACGAGCCCTAACCTCTCCATTGTGGGCTTGATTTCTTTCCTTCCAAGAAAATTAGTAAATCCCTATGGATTAGCTCAGTTGGTGGCGGTCTGTCTCTCCCCAGTGAACTGTGAACTCCTCAAGGGCACAGAGTTTTTGTTTGTTTTATCATGATCTGAGTGAAGTTAAACAGACAAGATCATCAGCTTTATTTTCAACCAGTCATACATTTTGTTTCAGCTCAATGATTTCACTCCCCTCCCTGCAACAACAGTTACCCCGCTTCCTTCCATCCACTCTGAGGCTTCCCTTTTACATCTTATTGTTCAGAAAATATTTGATGTACATATGCAAAATGAAAAATATATATTCATTTAAATGTTCAAAGGGCACATTTTGCAAGTCAGCCTCCTGCCTGCAGGCACATAACCTTTCTCAGTCCACGGGCGGAGAGTCCTCAGCTGCTCTCTCTCTCCGCCATTGCCTACACCACTGTCTCTGCTTTTCTAGGTAGGATCTTCCTTCTTCATGATCCTGAAGTCCTCTGTTCCTAATAGGAAAGACTAACTACTCCCTCCTTTTAGTTACGCATCTTCTACAATTACAGTTGTGACAATTGCAATTATTTCTGCCAACGATTACTCACAATTGAATCATAAAATCCTTCATTATCATCTCCCACCCCCTTTCACCAGATCCGTCTGGAAAAGAGAAAAACTATTCAGTGGGGAGTCTACCTTAGCCCCCTCACTCTGAAACTAAGCACACTCATGAAAGCTTGTAAGCCAGCCACTTTGTGCCTTTATAGCCCCCCCCCCCATTTTTGATAGCCAATGCCTAGATTGCCCATCCCTATCAACCCAGTGTACTGAGGAAACAAGCTTGACCTTTGAGATGAAGAATCCTTCTATGTGGGCTGCAATTTTGAGCAACTGCATCTATACGCAAAGGTCCAGTTCATCAAATTGTACCAATGTATGCTTGCTCATAGTATCAAACTTCTTTATCCTCATCTGGTTGAGTTCTGGTCAGCTAGCCAACCAAGCTAGGTCAAATGGCTACTATTTGCAAGTTTGGGCATTCCTGCACGCCTCCCCCACTTCAGACCAGCTGGCTGCTTTACTCTCAGCTCTAGCCCCCAGTGGCTAGGTCAGTGTCTGTGGGCTCAGGAGTTCACAGACTTTTTGTCTGTCTTGGTCTCTTTTGTGCTCTGCCTAGAAGCGAGGTGGGTACACAGTGGGTGCCCCATAAATATTGGCAGAAGGAAAGACAGGGAAGAGGGAGGGATGCAGCTGAGAGAAAAGAGAGAGGGACAACAGGAGATGAAAAAGGAAGGAAAGAGGAAAAAAAACAGTGAGGGAGGATGTTGAAAGGGAAACTGGATGTTCCAGAAGGTTCACAGGCCCTCCGCTCACTGGCCCCTGGTGACTCTTCCTACTGCTGTCTGTGACCAGAGTTCTTGGCGCCCCATGATCCCCCAGGCGCCGCCCTCGAAGCCAGATGTTGGTGGGGGGAGAGGCGGGGGCAGCGGCGGCGCTGGGCTGGGCCCTGGGGAGTGTGGGCGGCTGGTGGAGGAAATCAGGTCCTCTGCCTGCCAGGGAGTCCCCCGGAGATGGAGCACAAACAGGAAACCCCGGCGGGGGAGGGCAGAAGGCTGCTGACTCCAGCTGGCCAGCTGGGCCGGCAGGAAACGACCATGGCCACTTCCCCTGGACAGTTTGGGGCCACCGCCCTGTCCTCCCGGGCATGTGGTGGCCCTGGATCTCTCAGTACAGAGCCAGGCACTTAGAAATTGCTCAATAAAGCGGAGCGCATACAAACTGTTAGCAGAAGATAGGGCTTCCTTGACAGCTGGTGCCCGTGCTGCCCCCTGGAGGCCGGGATAAGAACTGCTGTCACCACCACCACCCCAGGCTGAGGCGTTTTATCGTGGCCACGCCCATCCCATCTGCACTCTAATCCCCACGCCTGGCTGGCTCTCGTTCTCTTCGCTCCAGCCCTGCTGACCTGCAAACTTGCCAAGTGCGCTGTAGCTTCAGGGCCTTTGCACTAGCGGTTCCTGTTGCCTAGAACACAGTGACCCTCGGGGAGATGGTGAAACTTGGCGTTTAAGATCATCCTTATCTGGTTAGCCAAGGCTCACAGGGCGGTGACTGTGTGCCAGACGCTGTTCCTGGTGCGCCACACATTTTCACACATTCATTTCTCTTGTTCACTGCCACCTTTAAATCAAAAAGTCAAACCTATTTGCTGTGGGATTCTGACTCATGGTGAGCCCCTGCTTTACAAAGTAGAGCTAACTGCTCCTTCCGATTTTCTTTAGCTGTCATCTTTGAGTGACGCAAATGGTTGCACATGGAACAAGTAGTTAAAAGGTTGGTGGTTCAAACCCACCCAGAGGCTCCTATGAAGAAAGACCTGGTGATCTGCTTCCCAAGATCACAGTCTTGAAAGCCCTATGCAGCAGTTCTACTCTGCACACAGGGGAGGGGGGTGCCCTGACTATTGACAACAGTCTTTAGGGAAACAAACTGCCAGGACTTTCTTCTGCTGCACTGTTGTTGTTGTTAGGTGCCATCGAGTCCGTACTGACTCAGTGCGACCCTATGCCCAATAGAACAAAACACTGCCCGGTTCTGAGCCAACCTCACTATTGTTGCCACGCTTGAGTCCATCGATGCTGCCACTTGGCCAATCCATCTCATTGGGGGTCTTCCACTTTTTCTCTGACCCTTCACTTTACCAAACATGATATCCTTCTCCAGCGAGTGGTCCCTCCTGACAATATGTCTGAAGTATGAGAGTCGAAGTCTGGCCATCCTGGCCTCCAAGGAGCACGCTGGCTGTACTTCTTCCAACACAGATCTGTTGGTTCTTTTGGTAGCCCATGGCACTTTCAATATTCTCCTCCAACACCATAACTCAAACGCCAATCTTTAGGTAGTAAGTGTTGTTGTTGCTAAATGCTGTAGAGTCAGCTGAACACAAACTGTTTGTACTATTCTGGGACACCCCCCCCACCCCCACCTTTCCTACCAAATCAAACCCAACCTACTGCCATTGAGTTGATTCTGACTTACAGTAACCCTACACAGACTGTAAATCTTGATAGGCGTAGACAGGTTCTTCTCTCTTCTGCAGAGGGCTGGTAGGTTTTGAACCGCCAACCCTGAGGTTAGTAGCCCAATGCCTAACTCACAGTACCACCAGGCCTCCTTTGTAAATGCCTCCTTTGTTAAAGGTCTCTCAACAAGACCTCCCCCAAACTCTTTCTGTAATAAAATAGCTCCCCTCCCTGCACTCCCCAACTTCCTGCCTGCCTTCTGAGCACCTGACGTACCTCACATTCGACTTACTTTTCGGATCTTTCTGGGGTTCTCCACCCAAGAGACTCTGAGTATGTGAGAGCAGCCACTGCCCTCTGCCCCGCTGTGTCTCAAGGATGGACATGTTGTTGTTAAGTGCCATCAAGTTGGTTCTGATCCATAGTGAACTATAGGGCTTCTGAGGAGTAACTGGTGAGCTTGAACCACTGACCTTGCAATTCAAACAGGTTTTGCAGTCTGGAGCATTAATTCACAGCGCCACACCAGGACTCCAAGGATTGGCATAAGTAAATGCTTGTTGAGTCAGTGGACCCCTACAGACCAAGGCTAGCCAGGGCTCCCGCTTTCTGCTGGCTCAGAGGAAGGACCTCTTCCTTCTGTGTACATTAGCTAAAACTAGTTCTGGGGTTCCCCGGGAGCCCTAACTGCTGCCTGTGAATCTCTCCATTTACCCTACTGTGTCCTTGTCCCCATAATCTCCCTGCTTGCTTTCTGAGGCCCACCCTTCTGAATGGGCATTTGGGCAGGGATGTGAGCAGGTCTCCCAAGGGCAAAGCTCACATTGCCCAGCACCCCCACTGTGGCCACAGTTGAGCACCATAGGATACCACAGGTTCCAGAACCTTCCGGATGCAGGATGGGAACTTGGTGCCCTTGTCCTCAGGGGCTGTGATGAGGGTGAGCCTGCTCTATGCATTGGGGATGCGTCAAGGATGGGAGTTGCCGGTCTGGAACAGGAGACAAAGATTGTCTCATAGGGGATGTGAAAGAAAGCAAACACATAGGTCCCTCTGCTTCCTTTTATTTCTCACAAACATATACGCTGCCATATGATGGGATTCATGGTTTTCATTTTGGAGATTTGGACAAATCAAAGCTCAGAAGGGGAGGCCCAAGATCACACACTGAGTAGAGGGCAGAGTCTAGATTTGAACCCGGGTCCACGGGCCACTGGTTCCTACAACCTGCCATAGTGGAGGGTATTGTTGTTGTTGTTAAATGCTATTGAGTCCATTCCGACCCATAGCGACCTTGTATAGGGTTTCCGAGGAGCAGCTGGTGAGCTTGAACCACTGACCTTGAAGTTCAAACGGCTTTGCAGTCTGGTGCATTAAAACCACAGCGCCACACCAGGACTCAGTGGAGGGTGTGGGGGTGTCTTAAGGGCCCACTACTGGGATCCCTGGAGAAGGGTCCTGACTATAGCGCTATAAGATAGAGGACAGACTCAGAAAATTGTCCTCCAGGCCCATGTGACTGAGGGGCTCTGGGAGTGGGTGTGGCCTTGGGATCTGGGTGATGAGGAAAGGACGTAGATCTCAACTGACCAGGCTCTCTCTCCCTCCGTTCCAGACACGACCGACTTCCAGGAGAGCTTCGTCACCTCTGGCGTGTTCAGTGTCACAGAACTTATTCAAGTGTCCCGGAGTGAGTGTCCGCGCACTCTCTGAACTGAGACCCACCAGGGGAAGGGGAGAAGGATTGCAGGAAGGAGGGGCTTAGAGAGGGGTTGGGCCGCTGGGAGTGGAGAGACTAAGAGAGGGGCCTCAGAAAGGGCGGAGCAAAGGAGGCGGGGCTTAGAGAGGGAGGAGCTCAGAGGAGGAAGGGCTTAGAGAGGGCACGGTTCAGGGAGAAGGGTTCCGAAAAGGAAAGGGGCTCACACTACAGGAGACTAGAGAGGCATCAGGGGCACCAGGAGGGTAGCTCCAAGATGGGAAGAGATCTCAGGGAGGAAAAGAGGACTCCGCAAAGAGGGAAGGGGTTCAGAGATGGGAAAGGAACTCAGGAAGGGAAGGGATTAGTAAGGGGTCTTAGAGAGAAGGGACACAGAGAAGGAAAGGTTTGGAGAGGGAATGGTATCAGAGGGAACAAAGGGGTCCCTCAGCACCAAGCCATAGTCCAGGAAGGGAGGAACCCAGGCACTTCATAAATCTCTGTCAGGGTGGCTATGAGGCAAATGAGGGGTGGAGGGTGATAAAGAACCCTCCACCCACCATCCCTCCTCCCTCAGGCCACCCCTCCCTACCCCAAGAGACCCTAGAGGACATCACCCCCCTTTTGCCTATCCTCCTCCACACTTTCCAGACACCCGGTTTTAAATCCCACTCCAGGGAGTTCTGGGCACTGCTCTGACCAGCAGAGCCTGGCCTCTGAGGGAGCCAGGAAGCCCTGCCTTCCACTGTGGCTACGCCTCTGCCTCACTGTACAGCTTTGGCCTCTCTCCATAGCCTTGGTTTTCTGGTTCACAGACTAAGGCCAGTTTGGGCCAAATTAGGGATAGAGCAGTTTGGGAAAGGACTCCCCAGGTGCTTCTCCCCACCCCTTCTTGGGTCCTGCTCCCCATCTCATTCTCTGTCTGTTACACTCTGCAGCGCCCGTGGTGACTGGAACAGGACCCAACTTCTCCCTGGGGGAGCTTCAGGGGCACCTGGCATATGACCTGAACCCAGCCAGCACTGGCATGAGAAGAACGCTACCCAGCACCTCGTCCAGTGGGTACGTGCCCTGGTCTCCACCCTCCACCCACCCCAAGCTCACTCCAACTGGTTCATTCCACTGCCTGGAATGTCTTTTTTTCACAGTCCACCTGGCAAACTCCTATTCATCCTTCTAAACCAAACTCACTGATGTAGGGTTGATTCCAACTCATAGTCACCCTATAGCACAGGTAGAGCTACTCCCTAGGGTTTCTGAGGAACTCTGGTAGCATAGTGGTTATGAGTCAGGCTGGTAACCTCAACGTCAGCAGCTTGAAACTACCAGTCATTCTGCGAGAGAAAGATGAGGCTTTCTGCTCCGGTAAGGATATGTTGTTGTTGTTAAGTGCCGTCGAGTCGGTTCCGACCCATAGCGACCCTGTACAGGGTTTCCGAGGCTGTAAATCTTTACGGGAGCAGAACGCCTCATCTTTCTCCCATGGAGCAGCTGGTAGTTTCGAACTGCTGACCTTGTGGTTCACAGCCCGATTCTTAACCACTACGCTACCAGAGCTCCTTCGGTAAGGATATACAGCCTCGGAAACCCTATGCAAGGTCGCTATGAGTCGGAGTCGACTCCAAGGCACACCACCACCACTACCAAATCTCCACAGAATCAATCTTTCTTCTGTGGAGTGGCTGGTGGGTTTAAACCACCGACCTTGTGGTTAGTAGCTGAACGTTCTTGATCCTTCAAAACCCAGCCCAAATGCCTCCTCTTCCAGGGCTGACACCTCAGCCTCAAGTCTCACTTGCCCAGCCACTGGGACTCCAGAGTCTGCAGAAATAAGCAGCGAGGCTGTGACTCAGAAGTATTTTGTGTAACTTAGTTTCCCCATCTGTAAAATGGGCATCATAATGCAATAGGGTTGTTCTGAGTATTACTGTAGACCAAGTGAGTAGCCAGCCAGCCTAGGTTTTAATCTGCACCTTAGTAGTTTGCACTACGATCTCGGTTAAGCCCCGCCCCCCCTCTGGCCTTAAAGACCCCATCCAAGCAACCCGAGGGTTGGAACAGTTGTCAACTGAAAACGGGCTCGGGAGGGGGGAGGGGGCGGGGAGGTTTTGTCTCGCAATATCTCGCGATGCTTTCCTCTTCGCCCTGCCCCATGACCGGAAGTTGTAAAGTCAGCCCCTTTCACCTCCTACCCACTCCGCGTCTCTTTGATTAGCGAACCGCGTTGTTTTCTCTTCGTCCCTTAGGAGCAAGCGGCACAAATCGGGCTCGATGGAGGAAGACGTAGACACGAGCCCCGGCGGCGATTACTACACCTCGCCCAGTTCTCCCACGAGTAGCAGCCGCAACTGGACGGAGGACATGGAAGGAGGTAGGCGGGCGGCAGGGCGGAGACAGCCTTCCGGTAGGGGTTACCGCGACTGGGACTACGTGTCCCAACAGGACCTGCGCTGGCGCTAGGGAGCTGGCAGCTGGCTGGGCGCTGCGGAGCCTCAAGGGAATTGTAGTCGTGCGGATTGCGCACAATTGAAAGTAAACTCCGAGCTCGCGTTCCCGAGCGCTTTGGTTCCGCTGAGAGCGGCAGGGTGAAGATCGTACCTGCCGGTTTTCTGCCTGTTACAGCTCCATCCATAAACTCTAAGGGTTCTTCCCCAGTTGTCCTCTCCCCCTTTTGTCCTGAGAGGTAAAATTTCCTTCTCATTAGGGCCCTTCTCTTTGGAATTTCTTTATTAGATTCCCATTCCATGGTATCTTCCTTCGTATGATTCCAGTTCTGTAGGAGGCGGTCTCTCTTGCGCTCTCTCTTTTTAAAAAATATTTTGTTGTTGCTGGGAACAGCAAAACATACACCAATTCAACAATTTCTATATGTAAAATGCAGTAACACTGATTCCACTCTTTAAATTGTGTAATCATTCTCATTTTCTGAGTTGTTCCTCCCACGTTAACATAGTTTCACTGTTTCCTATCTAACCTTTATAGTTCCCGTGTTCAAGGCAGACGTTCTTAACTAGTTAACTGTTGTTTGGTTTTAAGAAGGCTTCAAGGGATACTTTGGTTTAAGTTTTAAACATTGTTGTTAGGTGCCATTGAGTTGATTCCAGTTCATAGTGACCTGTGTACAACAGAAGGAAACATTGCCCAGTCCTGCGCGCCGTCTTCACAATTGTGATGTTTGAGCCCATTGTAGGCAGCCACTGTATAAACTTCAAGGAAACTCTGGTAGCGTAGTGGTACATTTCCGGCTGCCAACCTCAAGGACAGCGGTTCGAAACTACCAGCCGTTCCGCGAGAGAAAGATGAGGCCTTCTGCTCTTGTAAAGATTTTCAGCCTCGGAAACCTTATACGGGGTCACATTGAGTCAAAACAGCACACACTACCACCACAATTGTGTATCTTCAGAGCAATACTTGCAAGAGTTCACCCACCTCAGTGGTACCAGAAAATCTGGATTCCATAAGAATTTTATATTTTGTTCTGCAACTTTTCTCCTTTTGATAGGACCTTGTGTCATTTAATTGTGCCTCCATTCTCATAAAGAATGTTCCCAAGAGGCATCTTGTGTGTGTGGTTGTTTAAGGTCTTTGGGGTTTTTGTTGTTGTTGGGTTTTTTTGGATACTTATTTTTGGTGGCAGTATATACTACCAAACCTACATCTCACAATTTCTATGTGGACAGTTCAGTGATGTTGGTTACATGTGTGTTACATTGCCACCGTTCTCATTGTCTCTACCAAAATTGTTTCATTACCATCAGTTTAGGCTCTCTGCCTCCAAGAGTTCTCATCTGTATTTTAAATGACCTGTTAAGTGCCATCGAGTCGGTTCCAACTCGTAGCGACCCTGTATAGGGTTTCCGAGAAACGGCCGGTGGGTTTCAAACCAACCTTGCGGTCCAGTGCTTATCCTTCAGAGCCACACCAGTTAAAACTCATGGAGATGATTATTTATAAGGATGCTGTGCTCAAAGCAAGCAATCTTTGTTAATTGCACTGAGCTGTTGTTTTCATATAAGGATGGCTTCATGGGACCATTTCACTTCAAGGTTTAAAGATGATCTCGAGGCATTAGATCTGGGGGTTTGCCCAGTCTCTGGGGATCCAGTTAATAAAGTTTCCAGGTGAGTGTGAAGTTCTGTTTAACGCTTTTCCTGAGAGGTTTTACCATTACCCTTCTGTCTCCAGCGTTTTTCTCATGAGGTTCCTGTTCTATAAGGTCAGCAGCTCCTTGAGATTCTTTGTTTAGATACCATCTACTGGAGAGATTACTCCAAATTTCCCTTCTTTCAGGTCCTTGTCTCTACCACGTTTCTCATTTAGAGGATTCCTTTTGCTTGAAATGTCTAGCGGGCTGGTGCTGTGACTTCCAGAAAATGGTGTACAAAATAGTCTACAGACTTGTGTTGCTCTAAGGAGGGCATTCATCAGATTCCCAGTGGGGTCTGTGCACCCACAATTTCAGAAGCACTGCTCTGTCCAGCCCCATGGCCTCCAGGTTTGACACCCACATGACAGATAACTGAGTGGTGAACAGCATGGACTCTGGGACCAGTCTGTCTGGGTTCATGTCTCAGCCCTCAAAGCTTCCTGGTGACCCCACCTCTCTGTTATTGCTGTAGTGTGCCGTCGAGTCAGTTCCAACTCATAGTAATCCTGTGGCCTGTTTCTGAGGCTGTATATTTTCTCTTTATGTGAGCAGAAAGCCTTGTTTTTCTCCCACAGAGAGGCGGGTAGATTCCAACTGCTGTGGTTATCAGCCCAACTCATAACTCACTACTCCACCAGGGCTCACCTCTCAGAGCCTCAGTTTTTCTACCTATAAAATGGGGAGGTTGATTCCTGCAGTACTCAGTTTTTAAGAGTGTTATGGGGATTAAATGAGTTTATCTGTCTCCTGTTCCTAAAATGTGGTGGTTGTTAGTGTCATCGAGTCAGTTCTGACTCATAGCAACCCTGTATAGGGTTTCCAAAGTTGAACCACCAACTTTGTGGTTTAAACTGACCTTGCAGTCCAGTGCCACACCAGATTCTGTTACTAAAATAGGCCCAACCAATACTAGTTGTTCCTAGCTGCGTTTGAGTTGGTCCCTGACCCCACGCATAATGAAACAGTGCTTCCTGGTGCTGCACCTTGCCCATAATCCATTGCAGATGGGTCCATTGTGATCCTTAAGTTTTAGGGTTTTGTTTTGAATTTTATGTCTTTTGTTGTTGTGGTGGTTGAGAATATACACAGCAAAACATACACCAGTTCAACAATTTCTATGGTCTATTCAGTGACGTTGATGACAGACTTCACGTGTGCCGTGCATCCTCCTTTCCTACGCTGTTCTTCCCTAACTAATGCAAACTCACTGCCCCTAAGCTTCCTGTCTGATCTTGTGAGTTGCTGTTGTCAATTTCATCCCATACCTGTGTTCTCAAGAGGTTGGTGCTCAAGGCTGACATTCTAAACCATGTTTGGCTTTAAGAACACTTACATTTTGGGGTTAAGGTTTAGAGATGATCTCAGGACAATAGTTTTAGGGAGTTCATCCAGCCTCCATGGCTTCAGAAAGTTTGGATTCTATGGGAATTTGAAATTCTGTCCTACAGTTTACCCTTTTTGGTCAGGATTCTTCGATGGGATCTTCGTTCAAAGTACTCAGTTAGCTGGGGACCATACAGCTCTGGTCTCTTGGCAAAGGAGGCATGTTGTTCATGGAGGCAGCTAGCCACACTTCCCACTTCCTCCTCCTCTTCCTGACTCTCCTCCCGGAGGGTCTTCATTGGCTGATTTTCAGGAAGCAGATTGCCAGGTGTTTCTTCCTACTCCACTGAAACCTGTTGAACCTCCTGACAGCACACAGGCCTCCACTGACAGACGGGTGGTGGTTATACATGAGTTCCCTTGGGGTCCCTTGGCCAGGAATCGAACCTGGGTTGCGCTGCCATGAACTTGGTTCTGACTCAGTAACATTAAAAGGCAGATTGTTGTTAAGTGCTGTCAAGTCGGTTCTGACTCATAGTGACCTTGTATAGGGTTTCCGAGGAGCAGTTGGTGAGTTTGAACCGCTAACCCTGTGGTTCACAGTGCATTGCTCATCCTACATCGCCACACCAGGAGTCCTTAAAATGGATTAGAACTGCCCTTTTGGGTTTCTGAAACTGTAAATCTTTATGAGAGCAGATACCTCATCTTTCTTCTACAGAGCGGCTTGTGGGTTTGAACTGCTGACCCTGTGGTTAGCAGCCCAGTGCTTACCCTACTATGCCACCAGGGCTCCACCGCTGTCGTGGCCCACACTGTTGTTGTTAAGTGTCATCAAATCAGTTTCAACTAGAGTGAACCCCATACAGGGTTTCCGAGGAGCAGTTGGTGCGTTTGCAATTAGCAATCCAGTGCTTATCCTACAGTACCACACCAGGGCCCCTGACCCGTGCTAATCACTCTATAAATGTTAGGACCTCTTTTCTTTTTCTCCTTCTTAAACTGACCCATCCCTCCAAAGTGCCACACCAATGAGGTGCTTGAGAAGTCCCAGAGCATCATGATTAAGAAGTAAATTCAAGCACCACAGAGACCTGGGTTCGAATCCCAGCTCTTACCATTGGCAAACTCTTCTCATGCTGTGTAACCTTGGCAGATGACTTCATTTCTCGGAGTCTCAGTGCCCTCATCTCCAAAAGGGGATGACAACAATGATGTCCTCCTGTCTACAAAGCACCCGTGTAGCACATGAGTGATGCTCAGGAGATGCAAGTCTCTTCTTGTTTTTCACGTCTGTCAAAAGCCCCCATTTCTTTGAGTTGGTCTCTGATGCATCTGATTAAGACATTTTTCTTGATAGTTAAAAGTTTCTAAATCATTTATTTAACAGAGAGCTTTTTGAAAGATTGATTGAATACAACCTGCTTATCGTTGTAAATACAAAAACGTGTGTCTGTGTTGTTGTTGAGTATCTTTTGGAGTCAGTTCTTACTCATAGCGACCCTGTATACGGTTTCTGAGGAGCAGCTGGTGAATTTGAATCGTCAACCTTGCAGTTCAAACCGAACTTTCAGTCCAACGCATTAACTACACAAGCACCACACTAGGACTCCATAACGTGTTCTGATGTAGTTTTGAAACCTAGAAATACATGTTCACCAGAGCAAATTAAATGTCACTTAAGGTGAAATATTACTTTAGGAACAATAGAAAATTGTAATCATGGAAATTTCTTTAAAATCATAGATGATCAAGGCTGTTCCAGATATTTGCTTTTGAAATACTGTAAATAATTTTGGAATAATATAAATAACAATCAAAATAGGAATAATGCTCTGATCCTTGGAGGGGATTGCATCACTGAGATGAATTGTTGAATGTAAAACTGATGATCTTGTCTA